CATCCATCATCTGTCATTCATTCATCTGTCATTCATCCATCCAACCAACCAGCATCCATCCATCCCATCAACCATCATCCATCCATCATCCATCCATCATTCATCCATCATCCAACCATCCCCCATCCAACCAGCATTCATCCATCATTCATCCAGCCATCATCTAACCATCCATCATCCATTTATCCAACCATCATCCATCCATCCATCATCCAACCATCATCTATCCATCATGCATCATTCATCCAAACATCATCCATCCAAACATCATCCATCTATCATCCAATCACCATCCATCTATCCATCCATCCATCCTGCATCCATCTGTCCATCATCCATCCATCCATCCTGCATCCAACCATCTTCCATCCAGCCAGCCATTATCTTTACCCGCTTCTTCCTTTTTGGGTCGCAGGTGTCACTGGTGCCCATATCCTGCAGTCTCTGTGTGAGAGGCGGGGGACACCCTGGACAGGTCTTCAGTCCATCACAGGGACGCATAGAGACAAATGAGACAAACAACCATTCACTCTCTCACTCACACCTAGGGACAATTTAGAGTTACCAATCAACCTAACACGTGTTTTTGGTCTGTGGGAGGAAACTGGAGTACCCGGAGAAAACCCACGCATGCACGGAGAGAACATGCAAACTCCACCCAGAAAGGTCCCCAGCCGGGATTTGATCCAGCGGCCTTCTCTTTGAGGGGCAGCAGCTCCACAACTGAGCCACCATCCAAAGCCCACAACAAACATTCACTGTTCAAATCCTTCAGCGACAGTGGACATCTGAACCTCTTTAGTTCTCTAAATTTGACAATAACAATAAATCTACCATTTTAAAAAAAGGTTCTAAATTAATATAATTACAGTGATTTTTTTGGGGGGGTCAAATCTCTCAAAAATTTGGAAGACTGTTAAAATGACAAAGTGAAAGTTTCAAGTGCTCCGATGTGATTGAGTGAGGTCTGCAGCTGGACCCTCGTGTTGTGTTGTAATTATAACTTTATGCTTCAAAACGAGCTTGCTCCAGTTGACTGCACTGGTTCTGTGTGGCCGCTGGGACAGGCCACTGTAAAACCTTTAACTACCAAAGCTCTCTTTTGCCTCAGGCACCAGATCCAGCTTCCAAACTGATGCGTTTGGAGGCTGATCCTGACCTTGAACAGGTACGTTCGTGTCATGACCTCAGAACGCTGCTCTGCTGTGACATTAACAACAAGCATGTTTTCTGTCTTTTCATCATAACAGACTTTATTGAGAACAAATGCAGTTTTACAGCCTCGTCGTAATGTTCAGGTCACTTTAAGCATCTTATTGTTAGAACCTGAAGTCAGCAGAAATGTCAACGAGTCGTCGTTTTGTTAGTCAGGAAACGGCAATTAGGTCACAAGCTGGAGAATTGTACTTTTTTCTTTTGACACTAATACACTAAAGGCAGCTTCATGGGCTTTCAGCAGTAAAAGCTAGTCTGGTGCTGAAGCAGCAGCTCATTTTGACCCAAGGGCAGCAGAAGGGTTAAAGAATAAACTGTTGTACAGCAGGCAGGTTGCTCCATGTTTTAAAGATACAAACGTTAATCTCTTGTTGTTTCCGTCCTCTTCAGTGGACTCAGTCAGAACCAGTAAACTCTCAGTTCTGGCGTCTCGTTCTTGTTGAGCTGACATGTCTGAAGTTACAAACTCTCACTAACCACATCCTGCTGTTGACCTTTTGTCTTACGGCTGCAGCATCGCACTCCGTGTGAGACACCTCATCCTCATCTCCTTGCTGTACTTGATAACCGTTCCTCTACATTCAGAACTATGCAGCCCTTTAGAACAACCGTCTGTTACTCTTCCACCTCCTGTGTTCTTAAACTTCAATATTTCCAGGAGTTCCCAGTCAGGTCTTTTAATAAGCATTTGATTTTGTTTAAAAAGTTCCTCGCTGTATCTTCTCAGTGCGTTCAGAAACTTGTCCAGCCCGTGGAGAGCCCGGACATCAAGGTGCAGAACCTGGCTCCGAGGCCGCCGGCTCCAGCCCCCGACTCGTCACCCGGTGCTCGTCGAGCTAAACGCATGAAGTGTGAGGTGGGAGCCACACACGCCCCACAGGCTTCCACTTATCACACTTCTGTCTTTTTATGCATTTGTGTGTTTGTGCAGGCCGCCTGTGTGAAGACGGAGCCAGGTGAGGTGGGTGACAGCAGGCCTAACCTGAGGCGGAGGATGGGCTCTTTTGTTGCCAAACCAGAACCAGGTCAGGCTCCTCCCACCAGAGAGAAACATTTGAAACTCCAATAAACCATTAAGCATGTGTGGTAGCATCCAGGCAGTGAATATTTGTTAACAGCACATTATTCATGTGCTTTAAGTTAATTAATTAATTAATTAATTAAATATCTAACTCTTCTGGTCACTGATAACAGACAACACATGGCGGGCTTGGTAAAGTAATGTTTCTTGTTGTTTTGCAGACAAACTGATTCCTGTTCCAGTGAAACAGGAACCTGTTGAGTTCAAGGAACCAATAATGGAACCGGACAAATTCAAGCCGCGGTACAAGATGGTTCCCCCTGTTCCTCCAAGTCCAGTAAGAAGGAACATCTTCTACTTTCAGCAGAAGCGTTAATATCTTACCTGTTGTAGAAAGTGTCAGTTTGGAGAAATGGAGTTTGGTTCTGGTCAGGTCCACGAGCTAACAACTCCTCAGAGTGAAGTCTGGACTGAAGACAAAAGTTTTCCTCATCAGAGAAGTTCCATGTTGAGCATCTTAAAGGATTCATGTGGACACTATTTCATGCGTTTTAGTTTCACATTCAACAGTTACATAAAAGTCAGCTATAGCAGCAGCAGCTAGCTGTGGAACTTCCCTGGATCACTTTCTGCTGGACTGTCAGAATAATTATGACAGACTAATTCAATCTGATGTCACTGTGGAGGTTTATAAAATAATGTTCATGTGAGCTGAACGTTTTAAAACTAGAGTTGTTTTAAGATGGCTGCAGTCCACTTAGGTCCTGACCCCACTTGGACTAGCCATTAGCTCGACATGCTTGGCTTAGCCGTTAGCTCATCACGCTTGGACTAGCCGTTGGCTTGTCACGCTTGGACTAGCCGTTAGATCGACATGCTTGGCTTAGCCGATAGCTCATCACGCTTGGAATAGCCGTTGGCTTGTCACACTTGGACTAGCCGTTAGCTCGACATGCTTGGCTTAGCCGTTAGCTCATCACGTTTGGACTAGCCATTAGCTCATTACGCTTGGACTAGCCGTTGGCTTGTCATGCTTGGACTAGCCGGTGGCCCATCACGCTTGGACTAGCC